TCTCCATCTAGACATGTATTAAGACAAACAGTCTGCTTGGAACAGTAATGTCTGCCTAATATGTTTGTCCCCATTAAAATCCTTAAAAAGGCATCTACTCCTTTGACCTCATTAAAAATTCCAGATGTCAATATATCCTGCCTGTAGGCCCCGCCCCTTAAAATCTGATTTAAGAAGAGAAACTTTCCACTTACAGAAGATGAATGTGAAAACATCCCTCTAGTGTCAAACATACATCATTCTGCACAGTGAAGCTCAAACATCCAACTGTAGAAACAAGAAGAAAAAGAGAAATATTTTTGAGTGGGGGGGGGGTAAGGATAAACATTAAGCAGCCTGACTCGCAGTCATGAGACTCTGAGCAATAACAATTTCATTTTCCTCAGACAATGTAGTCTGCTCAATATGTCACAAAGTCCAAAGCAAATTTGTTGGAATGAACACAAATGTGACCACAGTTAAAGTCCCAGAAACCGTCCCAATCTGTTTTCTTCTGTTTTGCTGTTCTTCCAGGTGTTTGGCTACCTCAACATGTTTGTGTGGGCGGGCAACGCCTGGTTTGTGTACAAGGAGACACGTTGGCACTCCCAGAAATTCTCCTCTCAACCAGGACCTGCCAGGCAACAGGTCCCTGCACCCATCTAACATTCAGTAGAACATAAAGCAACACAACCACACAGTCGCGTACAAATACTCACATACACTTACACATCACACATAGGACAGACACAAACAGCCACAATCTGAGCACATGCACACTCTCTGTATGACCACATGTGCATGAAGACATTATTTTACACACACACACACACACACACACACACACACAAAAAATGCTCTGTGAAGCTAAAGAAGAGAAAACGAAGGATAAATTGACTGAGGGATTTGGACCAATATTGGATTTGGACTTTATCAATGCAGTAGCAGCTGTGTGGGTAGTACACAGACCTGAATTAGCATTTTGTAACCCAAAATGACTTCATTCACGGCATACTTGAACTGAGAACAGTTCTAAAAAGCAACATAAATTTCCCAAAAGATATCCTCTAAAGGCCTAAGCAACCCTGCAGCAGTCCGAGGCGGGGGGGGAGGGAGAAAGTGTCATGTGTAGATTAGGCCTTGTTCTTTTTTTTTTATTCTTGCCTGTTTCATATACTATAGCAACACCAATGCAAGTAGTATATCAAATCCTTTCAAATGTGCCTTCTTACAACCATTTCTTGATGGTTTCTTATGCTTTAGTAAGCAGATACATGCACAGACAACGACCAAATGTGTTCTTTAAACCTGAGCTTTATAGCAGCCTTATAAGAAGAGAGGTTTCCTAACTTCTCCGGTCCAATTTTAGGATATGGGCAAAATTTATTCTGCTTAATTATATACTAACGAATGTAAGATACTTTGAACTCATCTCTTTGTCTCTGACAGAAAAGCAACCACAAGAGACAAGATTACATTTTTTAATACCTGCAGCAATAGAGATAATGTGATCAAGGTTGTCAGGGTAACAGAGAGGGTAAAACTGTTGTCTGTAGTGCACTTTGAAGCATAAAACTCTATACCATATTACCAGATTTCAGAATTACATTCATTGTGATTTATTGACGTAGAGTATATTGCATACATTTAATATTGGCCTTGAAACCGAGCCATGCATATTTTGTATTTTTTTTTCATTCTTTCATCCATTTGCTCTCACAGTTAGCCCAGCTGGCCCCCTAGTGCTGGTTAGCTGGTATTGCAATGTCTAGACAAAACTAAAGTAGGATTATTAATTAGCAAAACTAGTGTTAAAGGAGAAGTTCTATCTCATGAAGTCACTGATGAGGTGAATCCATATAAACTTCTTGTTCCTGCACTGGTTTTCCTCACAAAGGTCAATCTATGCAAGGAGGACAAGGAGGCAGGTTGTTCACTAACTCTTACAGTGCTTAATATGCTGTCCTTCAAAGTACTGCGGGAGTGTGAATCTATTTAGAGTAGTTGATTGAGAGTTGGCTACTCAGTTCAGGAAAGTCTTGCTGTGTGAGTGCAGCTGATGTTTGAAATCTTTCAGTTCCTCTGTGTCTGAAGGCTTTGATTTATTTAGTCTCTACTAAGGTACCAGATGAAGGTTGAATCCGTCCTTGATTGTGTCATTAAAAAAAAAAAAAACCCTGTTTGTTGAATGTAGTAGTGGCTTTTATCTGAACTTCTTCATTTCATTTTCATTCATTTTTGCATCACTGTTAAATAGAAACAACTCTGCCAAAGCACTATTTTTTTTCTCTTCTCTGTTCAAGCTTATCAATATCTCTCCATGTGATGCTAAATCATTTATTTCGTTGCAGTTCAAACCACTCCGTCTTGTTTTTTTGATTGTGTAGTTTTAAGTCCTTAAAAACACCAAACTTGTGTTGTGTTTTATAAACTGTCACCTATTTGTCTTATTTTTCACTTTCAGTATATGTAGATGATTATTTGAAGGACTTTCTTTTTTTGTCTATTGTCTTTTGATATAGGAAAAATGGAAGTGGGATGATGTGAATTGAAAACATTTTAACGTGTTTGGTATACTGGTTATGCCTCTGCACTCTTGTAATCATCATCCAACTAGCCATAGCTTTGTCAATGATTCCTATGCATTTAACCTGCCAAACTGTCTTATTCAAGAGAGACATGCACAATTTTCAATGTACCTTTGTTTTGTTTTTCAATAAAAAATGAATGATTTTTTTCATTAATCTCTTTTGTGTCTATCTGCAAATTTGTGTGTCCGCTTGGCTGTGACTGTGCATGTGAGTGTGTCATTTTCTGTCATGCCCCCCCCCGTAGGGAAGCCACAATTTTTCAAAATGTCTACTCAACTTTCACTCCACATTCAGCCCCTGGTCATGTGTAAAGAAGATTTTGTGGTGCTGTACAGGCGGTGCAGGTTTTTATCTTAAATAATAATAACGTTGTTTGGATTCAATTTCTCAGGTGAGGTAAAAACCTTATGGATATAGAGCAGCAAAAAAATAAAAAGAGTGAAAGTATTTTGAAGATGTTGACGCATCCGTGACCCCAAACTGTTATTATGACCCTCGAAGAGACAGAAAAGTAATACTTTGTGTCTCCTGGTTTTTTTCCTGTGACCTCCTGATTTGTCCTGTGACCTCAATGATCACTGTGTGGGAAACAAACACAACATTGTGGTTGAGTCATGCTTTGTAGGTTTGTGCGTGTGTGTGTGTGTGTGTGTGTGAGTGAGGGAGCGAGAAAAAGAGGAGAGGGAACAGAAAACGAACAGGGAAGTGTGCTTGTGTGTGTGTGAGAGAAAGACAGGAAGGATTGCATTCAACCACAGATTATCATACGAAGTGGACGGGATTTGACCTGATTTGACATACCAGTGTAAACAAATCAAAGTAATTTCCCCGCCCTCGTTCAAGGGCTGCCATTTCCTCTGAATCTCCACCCTTCTCTGGTTTTCTCACTCTCTGATTCAGATGAAAAAGACGACTTCATGCCGTGTCATGTGACCATAGGCGAGTAGACACTGGATTCTTTAGATCTGTTCAGGTTTTATATAACGAGACAGTTATGGGTATTTTGTGGAATATTTGTTTGTGGTTATGTTGTGTGTGTGTCTGTGTGTGTGTGTGTAATTTAACAACTCATCAAAGATTAAGACTTATGTTTTCTGTATATTGTGATCTACTTGACGTTAAGTTTTCGTTAAGAGACTATCCATCCTCCATTTAGCCTGACTTTGCACTGGAAATGCAGGTTCTGTTTCCAGCCACAAGAGGTCAATGTAGTGCCGTGAGCTTGACCTACTGAGCCACTTTAAGAGGCCAAACACCCTGGGACAATTTTTAAGAATTTAATCAATGATGACCTCTAATGAATTCTTATAAATGCATGATGCAGATGAAACTTCCTCTGCACTTTTAGTTTGAAAAATCCCTGCACTTCCCCCGGTTTCAACATTGCCCAATTTAAAGATTTTTGTTGTTTTATGTAGGTATTTTGTTTGCAGTGGTATCTAATGTTCGCTATGCACACAATTAAGCATAATAGTAAGAAAAAAGTATTCTCCAGCTGTAACCACTAATAACACCATCATGTTAGATAGCAAGGGAATTTAGTGTTATTTATGGCTCTGACCTCCTCTTTTCAAAATCCATTTACACCCATTACTTTGCAAACTTCCTGGCAAGCACTCATGGTACTCTAATTTCTTTTAATGAAGCAGAGAGAAGATTTAAATCTAGCTTAGGTACATTTTAGGGTTCAAACACGGGCAAATATTTCCAGCAGCGGTGTTCAGTCCTGTCAGGGCCAACATTATACACTTATTTCGACACTTACAAGATGCCCAATTGCCACCATTTTTCATTACAGTGGATAGCAAAGATAACTCGTAAATTAAGTGTATATTAAGTAGGTTTTCCTGGTATACTGTGTCATTAGTACTAAGGTCAAAACAGATTGATAATGGAGGTAAGATCTCAACATTTACAAACGTATCTAGAACTGTTCACACACAGCAATATTCACTAAATAGGATAAGGTTAATATCTGTATCTCTATTTATATCTATTTTAAATGTCTAGCTTTTGGTAGCTGCATTGACACCCCCATAAGGATAGCATTGCATTATCTTCTGCAATAATATCCCCCACTTTTTGATAGAATTTAAATGACGTCTTTGAGTCATGGATAGGCTTACCAATTCCCATTTGATAACACTTAAACTAGAGTAGGCAGTGCTATTTAAATAATGTTTTCTATTATTATTATATATATATATATATATATATATATATATATATATTAACCGTCCCAAGCTGAAAAGCCAGTGTAGTGTTAATAGGCTTTAGTCTGTACCATATACTATCAATGGTCTGTACGTACACACTGAACTTTTGAACTCGTGAATAAGCTCCCCCTCGCCTGTCGCTCAACCTCTCAACCCTCCGACAAACGCCGAACCGAGCCGAAGCCGGCCGACGACGACGTCAGCATATCTCGTTCTTTCGTTTTTCGCCTGCTGCGTGCGAAGGAGAGAGAGGAAAAAACGGCTCTCAGCAAAGCAACAAGAAGGAAGAGCAATGGCGACACTGGATCGCCAAATACCAAGTCTGGATACCTTCCTTTGCGAGCCTTGGTCTTCCTTCGTCAGTGCGGCTAAATTACGTTTTGTTGACAGTAAGTTCACACGTCGGTAGCGTTGTTGTTTTTGCGGACAAACTGTCGGGAAGTGCGTGGTCCAACTGTCTGTGATTGAGTTGAGTAAAAGCCCCTCCACCATGCAGGGTCTGTCAAAGCGCAGGCAAAGTAACTGTCAGAAATAAAAATAATAATACATTAAAAACGAAATGCTAACATTAACAGGTCGCTTTAACGGTCGTGCACGGGCGCGCGAGCTTAAAAAAAAAAAAAACGCTAACCGTCGGAGCGCGGAGTTTGTGGCACTGGCGCGTGCAGTAGTGATAGCGTCAACGGTCCAGCTGTAAGTTTGTTAGCTCTGACAGCTCAGCGGCGCTAGCAAGCTAACGCTAAGCCCGATAGCCAGCCTCGTAGGAGCAGCATGGCTCCACGCAAAGTTTGTTGTGAAAGCCCCCCCCCCCCCCTGCGTTTGTTTGTAAGTGGCTTTATTATTTGTGTGTTTGTTTGTTTGTTTGTTTGTTCAGACGCAGAAGACTCGTCCTTGGATAACAGCGACAAAGAGCTTTGTTGCCCCGGTGAAGCTGTGAAGCTCCGCAAAGAAGGTAAGGAAGTTAATATCGTGTGAGGGTTTGTTATGGTTTTGTTTAATGCATGCTCTGCAGCATTACGGATGCCACAATGTTTCTATTTTTAACCACTTCTCAAAAAAAAAAAAATTCCTGGATATAATTGATTTTACACGCTTAGTTTTAAATCCATACTTTAGTTTAAATATGTGCTTTGAAGGGGGAAAAACACCACTCGTTATGTGTCTGTATTATAGTAAGTTAGGTATCCAGTGTCTAGGGCTGTAACTATTGATTATTTTCTCCATTAATTGCATTTATTCGACCAAAAGCTAAATATATTATATATGTTTACTATCATATTTAGCCCCCCCCCCAAAAAAAAGAAAAAGTATCAGACCCTCTTATTTGAGAAGCAGGAACCAAAGAATAATTGGCATTTTTGCTTGAAAATGTATAACTTGATTATGAAAATAGCTGCCAGTTAATTTGATGTTGATTGACTAATCAATTAATCAACTAATATTAACCCTTAGAAAGGCCAAACGGAACAAAAATCAGAGAGGATGAGGATAGCATTAAATAATAACCTTTTGCTGTTATATTCAATGTATGATGCTGATGTTTTGGGTATTTTAATATCAGTGGGGTAATCAGAAGTGTCTGTCATTATATAGTGTTTTTCAGAATTAAGTTACCAGAAGTCTAACACAGTAGTAAAACTGTAGTTTCATAATCAGTGGCTATGCTACCTCTTTGATAGGCCTACATTACCAGCAGCATCCCTGTAGAAACACTTGTACTCTACTGTACTGCATGTTTGATACACTGAAGTGTCCTTAGTGGTCTGAGCTTGTGTGTAGCTGTAAGTTGTTTATTGTTTTGTGCAAGATAATAGTTATATATCATCTGTGAGTCAGTCAGTGGAGGGGGTTGTGGGGTGGCCCTAAGCAATGAGTGGGTACCTCCAACCCTCAAATCCCCCCCAGGGACAGAGCCAGAGGAGTTCCTCCACACCTCACCACGTATAAATACCCACAGAAGCACGCTGCACACTAACACACTTGAGTCATCCCTGAAAGTTGGAGCGTGCTGCAGCCCTCGTACGGACACACTGACGCACACACGCAGCCTGGGAAACTCTCTTCTCACTCTCACTGGTCAAATACCAACACCCCCCCCCTCCCACACACACACACGCACACACTCACATGCCTCATCTTCCTCTCTCAGAGCCAAGCTGGAGCAGTGTTTCCAGAATTGCTGATCTGTTGGCAACATGATTCTTAAGGCCTGCTGAGAGTGATATGCACACACACATATACATACACCCACAAGCCTCACAAACACACCGGGAAACAAGTTTTTAAATGCGTTATTTGTAAAAAAGAAATGTATCGCGCAGAAAGTAGTGTGATTCATCGCAGATTTATATAGTACATGTTTACTCACTTGACACTTCAGTGCACACACATTTTTAAGATGGTGAGGCCAGGTTGGCACTTACTTGGTGTGTTGCGCAGGTCATGATTGCTATTTATGTCTTTCTCTCTCACTCAGTTAACTATTGCAGACATACACACACAGCAGGGATGATGACAACTTACAGCAACTTAGTTGGGCTGGACTGGCATCCACTGTCATCATCTCCCTAGAAATAGGCAGTGCTGTAATGCCGCTATTTGTATGTTTACCGATGTCTTTAGCAAGGATGGGAATCATCAGGAACCATCATGTTATTAACTGTGAGATACAGTATGTCACTAGTATCATGAATATCTCTGCATGCATGCTTTTAGAGCTGACCCGTACCAAATGTGTTTGGCATGTAAATGAATTGAACGACAACAAAGGAAAATATCACAGTGCACACGGTATGGCAGGACATGAGCTGTTTGAAACCTTTGAGAGAAAAAAACACCTCTGTTATCTGGCAATCTACTCAAAATTAGTCATTAAGTAAATGGGGCACTATTGTCTGCATTCAAATGATTTCAGCTTGAAATTAGTCATATTACCCTGTCAACTCTTGAATACAGTCAAAGAAATCGTTACATTTCTTGTACTTCTTGCAAATGCTGTAAAGTGAGGTAGATTCAAGATTCATGACACATTACCTTATGAAAGAGTGCCTCATGGAGAATGAATAAAAGCAAAAACAGTCTACACCAATAACCTCAGATTTATGGCAACTGCTTTGATAAATAGTTTAAGTCATTTTTCAAGCAAAAATGCCAAACATTGACTAGATGAAGCTTCAAAACTGTTAGGATTTGCTGTTTTTTTCCTCTTATGTGATAGAAGAAAGCGGAATATCTTTGAGTTTTTGGACCATGAGTTGAACAAAGAGAACATATTTAAGAAGTCACCTTTGGCTTTGAAAATGTGTAATTTTTCAATGTGAATTGATAATGAAAATAATCATAAGCTGTAGCCATAAAACCCTTACACATTGTCAGAATTGAAGCGTAGTCTGAAATAAAGAGACTGTGAAAAAAAAAGGAAGCAAATGAATCACAACTTTGTTGCCCCCTGAATAGAGATTGAAGTGGAATGTTCTTGTCCTTGCACAGAAAAGTTAAGTGCCCTTGATGTTAATGTCTTTAGCTTAGATGTCAGATCATAACTGTGGTTTCACCTTTTGTGATCTATCAGTGAAACTCTTTTTGTGGTTTGTTTCATAAATAGCTTCTTGTAATAGTTTTCCTGGCAGGAGTTCATTTTTCAGCCTGGCTTTTAAACCCCATGAGCAGATGATTCTGACTTTAAAGACGAAATAGTTTGAAACTTAATACAGTTAAAATTCAAGACTAAATTAAGACTTTGTTGAATAATGTTGAATTCTTCATCATAACAGCATATTTGTTCAATTTTATCCTTGTGACACGCTGTCTGTACAGCTTTATTGCTATTGGTTACAGCTTTACTGAGAAGAAAAAGGTCTGATCCCCTTTTTTGGGGCGCCAACTGAAAGTCTGACTCTTATTAATAAAAAGTTTTTAAAAACCTAGAACCATCTTAAACTCTCCAAGTCTAACCCAGATTTGTGTCTGGGACATTTTTGTAAAACTGGAGATACTAGTTGAGTTTGTAGCCTTGGGTCTGCAACACAAGCAGACTGCTAAGTTTGTTTACTCTTGTCAGACATTTTGGGGCAGTACCAATAATTATCTGGTGTGCCAGTTCAGAAAACAACTTGAGTTGAAGCTGTGGTCTGTGTCTGCCTCTGTAACTGTTGTAACACAGTGATTACTCAAAAGTGGCTCCTATCACCAACATTTCCGCTAACTTTGTGTCAGTGATTGCTGTTTCTTTGGTACAGTTGCATTATTACTTTGCTATTAGTCAGCCAAACCACAGAATTTTAGAGCAGGGTCGAGTAAAGTCTTGTTCTCTTTTTCTTCTCATGTTTGATAGTCACTGCTATTAAACGCTTTTGTTTACCAGGAAGTTCATTTAAGTTGCCTTTCCAAACCCCAATTCACCAATGGGGAAGTTGATTTACTTACTCTAAATGTAATCAGTGTCCAATGATACATTGTTTTAGTAGCTCCAAACATGCTTATTCACAAGTGACTAATGTTTTTGTAGTTCATTTTCTGGCCTGTCAGTCATTTGGCAGCCTGTGGAAGTTGGCTTGAGAGGCACAAACAGTTCAGGCTGCAGAAATAGGCTACGCACTTAGTTTGCATTTGAATTGGCAGATGCAGGGGAAATTGCATTCTTGCGTCTTTTTTTTTTTTAAGTACTCCCACTAAAGTCCTTTTCTGTTACTGCAGACCTTGGATTTGCCAGAAAAGCTAAATTTTCCCATCGTTTTTTGGCTTGGCTTTACTGATAGTTTATCAACAATAAAATGTTCTCTTTTCCCCCTGAAAACGATCCCTAAAAAAAGTGTGGTGATGCTGATCAACTTTTTTAACAGAAACCCTTTGGCAGGTATAGAGCTAACCTGCAGCAGTGTTTCCAGCCTCTCTGTTTAACTGCACAACAGAAAGTTATCAGTCCTGGCCACTTAACAACCTGCTGACTACAATGACAATATTTAAATGCTGTTATTCACACATGGCCACACCTTTCCATTTGTGTTTGGGTTATAGCTCGGATCAGGCTGCTTTCTGTTAAGTCAAAACCAAACACTACAGTTTATTTGCTAGTGAGGGAAAGCAGTTTTTGTTCAGCAAACATAGGAATCGGAGACTTTGAATTGTGGCTTAAATCCAGGGGCGTGCTTAGAAATTATGGCCATGGAAAATGAGTGAGAAATAATCTCCTCTTCTGTATTGACAAGGTGAACTTGGACAAAGCGTCTTACTGCGAACTGCTTCAGTCCAGCTGCTCTGCATCCATCTGTAGGCCTGATATTAAAGCCTCTTCCTCAGCTGCTAGTAGCAGTTTATTTTACCGCTTTGGTATTTCTGTCTTGCCCTTAGTTTGATTCAGTGTAATTACTCTTAAGTATTTATTTAACAGCAACCTTCCATCAGTATTAACATAGCTCAAAGGTAATGAAATACATATTCCTACCAGTGATCCTGACAACCTTAATGTGTGTGTCCTTGACCACTTCATGTATGATTAATGAAGCCATTTGACATTTTGTGTTTTATACATACAGTATGTTTATAATATGGCTTTGACCTTGAGTGACCCAGCAGATCCTTTTCCCCTGCACACGCACGCACACACACACACACACACACACACACACACACACACACACACACACACACACACACACACACACACACACACACACTGCTAGGCGCTAAGCGTGACTGCCGGTCTCTTTGACTTCGTGGATGACACCCACACATTCTTCAGTGTTTCTCATTGCAAGCTTTCACAAACAAACGCATTCATACACACCCCACCTCCCCTCAGTGAGTCTGGCTTAAGCCCCATGCTAATATGTACTATGATTTCTGTCAGCAGAGCTTGTTTGGGTATAGGAAGATTAGGTTCTCAAAGCTTAGCCAAACGAGATAATAGCTATTTTCCATTGGACATATTTGTTTTTCTCAGTATTTCTATTAATCTTCAGTTTCACCCGGAGTGGGTGGGGTATCTCTTGTAACTCCAGGCGCAATGTTGCTGTATGCTAGCTAGGACACAGTATGCTACTTTGTGTGTGTTTATGCCTGTCTGTTCAGTAATGAAAACACAGATTATCATCTGTGTTTTCAGATGTTCCTTGTTAGTGATAATTGCAGCAACAGGTGACTCGAATTATCTGAAAATACACCACGTATTTTACTTTCATTAATTTCATTTTCATTTTTCTATACAGTCTCTGTATTAACATGTAGGACTTTGATAAAATGCTGAGAGCTGGAACAATTTATTGATTAATTCATTAGTTTATTACCTACCTTTAGTCATGTTTTTAAATCATCTATTGAAAACATGGAAATATTAATGGGCACATTTTCACTAGTTTTAAACATTTTATAGACAAAATTATTAATTGATTTATCTAGAAATCAATAATAAAAATAATGGTTAGTTGCTGCCCTAAACAGCTGCACAAATAAATGAACCACCAGGTACTACTTTGACTGTTCTCATAGGAAGTGAATGTGCTAAGATGCCAACAAAGGTTTTACTGATTATCATGTTTTTTTCAGTGTTTGTAAACAACTGTATGAACTGCTAAAGAGAAAGTCCTTTTACTTTCAATAAAACTGCTACTTGTGTGATAAAGTGGTGGCATGGAACATTTGAGCAAATGAGCCAATTGGAACTGACCTATAAGACAGTTTTGCAAAAACTTCCTCTATTTCTTGAACTCTTAATGCTCCTTTGTCTAAAATGTGGTCTCTAATCTTGATGTCTTTTTCAGAGATGCTTGTCTACAGCCAGTTTCCAGCACTGGAGGATTTTTGTCTTGTTGTCTGCCATGTCTGTAATCAGGTGGTCACTCCTCAGGGCATCCTCGCACACTATGGTAAGATCCCTTGGGGTATAGCCCCACACATAAACCGCAGGGCATAATCATACACCTCACTAAGACACGCACCTCATGGTATGTCTAGCTGTCTCACAAAGGCACAGAACAAACATGCTCATACACACACACACACACACACACACACACACACACACACACACCTCTAACACAGAGACAGCCATTCAGATCAATACAATAATTTCTATTTATACCTGCAGGACTCTTTAAAACATAGCCTCCCTGCAATTTATTCTCCATACAAACAAACAACGCTTGGTTATGCATTCTAACACCCAGCAGGCTGAGGCTAACTGAGAAACATTAAATCATTTGCAGAATAATGGACCAGATGTAGCATTGTGCGTAAGCTTTTTGCCCAGGAAATAAGAATATCAACAAAGCCAATTATAAGAATAACCATTTCTGCTCTTGAGATAATGTTTTTTAAAGAGGTTGATGTTTTTGATATTCTTGTACTCATAAGCTAAAAAGGCTGCAAAGGTACGATTTCCATATTTACTGGTTTTAATGTTTTTTCAAGCAGGGTTAAAAAATTAATTAGAAAAAGAAAGTTGTAATGCTTTTAGGAGCCAGTACACAGACACACTCTGATCAGCTGCTTACTCTATGTACACCCGCAGGGTAAATTTCAAGTTCAATATTTGTTGGTATGGAGACTGTAGTCATAGGCACAAACCCTACTGATCCCTACTCATCTAGTTGAGATGTCAGCCACTACCACTTGTCATTCTTACATTAAACATCGGAAAAAGTATTAAAGTCTATGTTCAACTTAAGTCTGGATATTTAATAAGGAAAGGAAAATGTATAGAAAGTAGTTGATAGTATTTGTTGTTTAAGTGGTAGCACTGCTGATTCCGGCTCTCATTGGCCCTCCACCCCATCCGTCTACCTCTTGTTTGTTTTTGATTGTGGCTCCACTGAGCACGCTCGCATCTGCCCACGAGCTGCTGCTTCCTTCTGTTGGAGGCACGTGCACCAGCCTGAGCCGTCTGTTTGAGCAGGGGAGAGAGACACATGGTTATGCTTAATGAACACACACACACACACACACACACACACACACTCACACACTCTTCTCCCTGTGAGGAGAGAGGCCAGTGAAGTTGCATGCACACACATTCTCACTTTCTGTTTCTAAGTAGAAAGAGGTCAGTTGTATTGTGAGACACACACACACTCGTAGACTCCTGGCAGGCGCTGTTGTTTTGTCCCTGCTCCTGCCCCCTGCAGCCCCCCCTCCCCCTGCTCTCGTTGGCAGCGTTTCTACTTGTTGACACGCACCCAGAGTCGGGTAACAACAGGTCTAAAACACACTCATGCACACACACACACACACATGCACACACACACACACACACACACACACACACACACACACACACACACACACACAGGAGAGTGGGAATCTCCTGAGAGCTCCCTATAAAACAAAACTATCTCTGGGCCACAATACGATCACAGGCAGACATTGCTGTGGGCCAGCAGACCAAGTCACATGCTGACTAGTAGAAAAGTTGTGTGTGTGAATCATTTTCAGTCAGTTTCATCATATACTTTTATGTTTATAATAATTACAACTGTAGTGCAGTGACCTAGAAGTCGTACCGTGCAGCCACTTGAGTTGACTTATTGACATCATTCTTAAATATGAAGCATTATACACACAACTACTCTGTGTCATTGCATGAAATATGCTCCCCCTGACCTCTGCTGAGTGGATTGCCTCCAGGAATTGGCCCTGTCAGGATATTCTTATGATGTTTTATTCATTTCCTCCCATTGTTGCTCATTCCCATCATGTCACTGTAATATCCAAACAAGTCTAGTGCCATTGTTCCCTGCTGGGGATTCTACTTTAAATGTTGTGACCCCGACAAGCATTTTTATTCAGTACAGTAGCCTTGTGTTTGTCTGTCTGTGTGTGTATCCATCATTGGATTTGCTTTCATGCTTGACCCCTGTGCATTGAATCAACACTGAGGCCATACAGAAATACATGCACACAGACACACAGAGGAGGAGGGGGTTGGTTGTCTCAGGGGTCAGTGGCTCCGAGTTATATACGCCCAGTTTGCTGCTCAAGCTTTGCTGTGTGTGAGAAACTGAGTGATCACAACTTAAGCTAGGATCTGTACTGGATAGATGTTTCATATATATGCCTTGTCTTAGTGTTCAAAAAGGTTAATATATACTGTATTTTTTACATCAGAGACTTGCTCCATTTAGTGGATTTGTTTATTTAAATCTCCTTAGAGTAAGGCACGCATGTGTATTCTTAGCATAAGTGGCCCCAGTGGGATATCAAATAAATCCCTTACACTGGCAATGTTCACACCATGCACTCTCCGATGAGTTTGTAAAAGACAAAATGTGCAAAGAAATAGTTTTTAATGCTTGTGTGAGTGAACCTCAAAGCTTACTATGGACAGACCAGAGATGTATTATTTTTAAGTAATTTGAAAATTATTGAAATTTAACATATTTAAGTGTTTTTTCCAGGGTTGAGTATGATTAGTATGAGTTTGTTTCAAAGAGCATTTTATATGCTGGTGCAGTTGGGCCCTGAACACCATGACAAGCTAGAGAATGTGTGCAAGTCATGCTTTTGAAGCTGCGTTTGTGGGTAAATCAGCGTGGCATGCCGTGTTCAGAACTGTCAGTGTATTCCTTCCAATTTTCTACTACGATTCCCTCTCCACTCTTTCAGCCTGTCTCCCCTGCTGGTGGCCTGCTGCGTGTGAGTAAGTCGAGTGCGCGATGAAGGGGTCGTGTTGTTGCTGTTGGTGGGAGTGTCTGTCTCTCTCTCTACTCGCCTTCCAACCTTTTCTCTGTAGTGGTAGATTAATTGAGCTCTCCGAGGCAGGTAAAAAGAAATCATCCGTTTCCTTTCGGTTTCATATCACTCCTAACTTAACTCAAGTGTTTGGGGCTGCTTGAGGTTTCCGTGTCAGAGGTTGTTGTTGTGTTAAAGTATGTGTGTCTGTGGTGTAGTCGTACATTTCACATGATGTTTGTCTGTTGTTGGAAAGTTTTGCCCTTAACCACAGAAGCTCTGCTTAGTTTCGGTTACTGGTGATGTTGCCCATTCCAGTGTTGGGTTATTGTTATTGCGGCTTGGCTGAGTGTGAACCATTAGCTGAGGGTCGGGCCAATTAAAAGGCCAGCAGCTACTACAGAGGTAGTTTCTTTGCACTTAAGTTCGTACGGTGTTTGGAAAAGCAAAGTGGTATCAAAATGTTTTTTACCTAACCTCAGGACCAAAAGGAGAAGACATGACCTTTTATATACTTACAGAGGAAGATACGTATACAGGTAATAGTTGAAGGCCTGGCCTACTGACTAATAACAAACTTGGTGTTGTTCATATGGCTCGACAAATACCGACACCCTAATATGTGCATATTATGTCCATAATAGTAACTGAAAATTCACTTTTTGACCCAAAATAACTGAAGTACCTCCTCTCACAGTTGCTATTTCTGACTGCTGTTCACCTGGAAGACTTGCTTGGCAGAAAGCGTGTTGCATTGCTATGACAACCTGCAACTGTGAGAAGTCTCAGCTGTGGCATAACTGCATATTACAGTGTTTTTAATGTGGTGATTTTTAGTATTTATTGCACTTTTCTTCGGGTTGTGATGCATTTGAAAACATAACAGTGTAATTCATGTAAATGTCGCCTCACTGTTATGTGGGTAAATGTTATGAGAAATGTCAAGTCAAGGGTGCTGGGTGCTGTGAGTTGTCCTTTAGACACCCCATAAGGGGCCACTGCATTAACAACCTTAGTGACTGAGAATCTTCATAAACACTTCTGTTAATTTCCTCGTATCTGTTTCTCTCTTACTCTCTCCCCTGCTCCTCTCTCAATGTAAACAAACCCAGCTGAGCTCCGAGAGCCTCCGCTTCCTCATCATGCATTGGCTCCACCCACATGATGAATCAGCAGCCAATCAGCAACCAGCTGGGCTCTCAGCATTGCCATAACGACAGGCAGGCAGGAGAGCGTAGTAGTGAGGGTGCCCTTGTGGTCGAGTGGCTTAGTGACCTTGCCTGGGCAGCCGTCCATGCATTGTAAATCAGTACGGTTAGCATCCAACTGGCTCCTTACACACAAGATGAGGTGTGTGACAAACACCAATATCTGAGTCTGTTTTGGGGGGGAAATAAGTTTTTATCAGTCATTATGTCTTACTGTATATACAGGTACATTTTTTGTTAGCCAACCATTTAAGACTGACTGTAATTTTAATTTTTTGTTTTAATTTTACTGTTATAAATCTATAGTTACCTAATCAATACCTTAACTGTTATTCTTTCATATTGCTGAATTTCCCTCAAATTGTAATTTTTTTTTGTCTTAGAACAGCACCATTTAACAAAAAAGTATTGTATCATATACTAAATCAGAATCTAAGTGAAACAAAACATGCACCCACAAAGTCACAAGTACGGGCTGTATTTGGTTTGGCCAAATAACCACAAGGGCACATCTGATGTATTTCTTCAGATTCATTATTTACCCTTCCTCCTGCCTGGAAAAATAACAAACTGCTGAAATCAGGATATAAAAAAAAACCAACACATACAGAAAAAGTTCACACATGCACAGTTTTCCCAGTCCATCCTACAGTACAACTCCATTGAATTATACAGTTGAGTTCACTAAAATGGTGTGAAATAATGTGTGATTTAATGTGTGAAATTGTTACTGTTGTAGCTGCATACCTGCAAATGTAGCTCTGGACTTTGATCCCGCTACTCTGAATACAGCTGCCTCTGCTTCCCCTGGCCTATTTACACACCTGCCATACACACGCACGCACGCACACACACGCACACACACACACACACACAAAGACACACATATTTTCACTAAAACAAATTATACTCTTACGAAGTATTCTCTTATATACATACTGCACACCAAGACACACTAGTGTGCATTCAAAATGCATACCGTGGACAAAAACACATATAGACTTGCAGTGTTCTCAACATGATATCATACACACGCACATACCTGTTATACTTATGCATGCAATAGCTAATCTCTTATATACACACAGACACACTTTGTACACACATTGTACACACACTCTCCCTCAGTCACCTGCAGCACACTTTCATGCGCACCCATGCAGTCTGAGCAAACACACAGTCGGTCAGTCTGTCTGCTTTGCCCTTTTGTTCCAAGGTGCTACTGTTAGTAGAGTACTACTGCACTCATTAACCGGGTTGTACAACATTGTCTGACACACACACACACACACACACACACACACACACACACACACACACAATACACACAGAGAGAATCCCTTATACTGCTTACTGAGCAAAGCATGACATCAGCTCTACACTACTCCAGTCTACATACTTGGTATTGTGATGGGGGGGTGCAGCAACAAGAGATTTGTGCTGGTGAGTTGCCTTCAGTTGCAAGGTTGCTTGCTTAGGAACTTTTTCCCAGTCACCTTGGATGAGGAGGAGAGGTACTTCTAGGTCCTGTAACTGCGCTCACCTGCTGTGATAGTTGCACAACAGGTTTTTGGGGAAATCTCTGTCATGGATGAGGATGCTCCTCTGACGGCTCCGCACCTAGCTGGTCCTCTGACGTCCACATTGCCTGGCTGCTTCAGTCTTCCATCTCAAATTTTGTGCCGTCATACCTCCGGCATATGACGCCTGGTTGCATGTGTCACATGGTGCTAGGGCTGTGCAATATGACCAAAATTTAATTTCCCAATATAGTTCTTTTCATATTGAGATAACAAAGTATATCCTGGTATGGCACATTTTCTTTAAATTCAATTTAAATAGTTTATGTAAAATTACATTTTGTAAAACAAAAACAATTTGTTTAATGATATTTTTCTATTACATTTTCACTGTAGTTTTGTGGCTCTCATCCATAGGCACTCTCCATGCTGTTTGGCATGGTTCTTGCGTAGGTGATAGAAGAGGTTAGTGGTGTTTGAGTCTGTTGTGGAGGCCGTTTTTTGCATTCCGTACTTTGCATAATTTGCAAAGTACGTTTTTTCTGGTTCGTGTTAAACCACATAAGAGATAACTATTTATTTATCATTGTAGGCACGCAATGCCCAGGCGAGTAGCCCCTCTTTTAGGTCTCGTTGGTCGTTTTGTCTTGGCTGGTTGGACTTCTCCTGTTCAGAATTACCCCGCTCTTTGCCACCTTTACTGTCTCCCCATGCTTGTTTGTTTACTTCATGCAAATTTCCTGCCTGCATCCATGCCGTGCGGAATAACGCAGTCCAAATTATGACAAATATTGCCATAACAAGTAGCATAATTGGCTGTAGTAACCCCCAGGTGGGCGTGGCTCAGTGGCCTGACCACTTAATTTAATTCCTGCAGTTGGGTCTGAGTTGCTGTATTCATGCATTTTGGCCCAGCAGAGAGCACATCCCTAACAGCCTTCACCTCTAGTGTTTATCAAAAGTGAGCCTTGATGGGATGAACCAGTAGCAAAGCCCATTAGAGGGCAAAGCGCATACTCATGGAACTAGAGTGATGATTGTGCATGGATGTGCATTATTCATTTTCAACAGTATTCCTGTTTCCAAGGTAAATAATAATGACTCAGACACTACTATCTGTAGACTGACAAATAGCTACACATGGTCTGTTATCAAAATAAAGCTTCAGAGAGAGTTTAGCCAGACACACACACTCTAAGTAACTTTTAAATTTATTAGTCTATATATTCTACCTAAGCTGCTGTCTTTAGATATATCTTATAATTGCACCGCTCTCTTCACTTTAGACTTGCATCTTATCAGCAGACAGGAAATTCCCCTAACCACAAGGGCACATCTCATCCCAAAACAGCTGCTTTTCACCATTTATCTATCAGATAAATCTTGCTAGATCTTGCAGATGTTTGCTATTTACCTCTTGAACAGATAGTAGATTAGACAAACTTTGTCTTGAACTTTGAACATTATATCATATTACACCTTTTAAGACCTAAATGTCACATATAATTTAAAATTAAACTGCTGTTTTACTGTGTGTGCAGTGTGTTTCCCCCACCTCCTTTCTGTTATTTTTATGACATGTTCACCCCTCTGTTTTTATTCAGGTAGCTGGGGTGTAGTTTCCCTGTGAGACAGTCAGAGAGAGACAGACAGTCCTGGATCACACCCCCTCATTCCCTCCCCACCCTTCTCCCACAGAGACATGCATAGCAAAAACCGTAAGTGTGAGCTCCTCTCCTCCCCTACTGCCCCTACCACAAGTGATTTATTCCCCTCTGCGTTTATATCTGTATCTCACCATCCTTTCACTTGTGCATTCTTATCAGATCTGGGTCAAATCGTATTTATAATTGTTGCTCTTGTTTGAACTTCATATAATAACAGATTGGTGGAGTTTATCACACGAGGACACTTCAGATGGTGTCAAGCAAGTTGCTAATTAGAGAAAAGTACACGTAATTGATTTGTAAATACTTCATTCTTTTTGTGGAAAGGTTCTGGCACAGATTTGTCTCTCCTGTGTTACAACACAGCCATCTGGCACCTAAGCAGGGTATAAAAAAATAAAAAAGATACCGCATTGCACTACACTCAGTACTAGACTCAGGTACTAATTGGATGCAAATCAGATCCAGAAAAGTCCCCACGAGCTAAGTAGTGTTGGAGAGTGTCTTGATCTGTTTGGTGTGTTTTTGTGTGCGTCATTACATCGACGTGACCTTACAAATTAGATCTTGGTCTCTGCTTCTATATTGACTCGTTTCAGAGAAGCGCCACGTTTCCCCCATTCCCTCCAGGAGCCCCCTGGTCCCCATGAAGCCCAAAGCACCTGCAGTGGCCCCCGCTGTGGCTCCCAGTCCTGGGGACACGCTGGCCTTCAGGGTCCCTAAAGATTACCCTCATTCGCGCTTCAGCAAGGCGCCACTTGCTGTCTACCCACCAAAGGGGGCACGGAACAAGACATGGTGGGCACATACTTCTTTTTCTAAATGTGAAAACTTTCCTACTTCCTCACAGCATGATAAAATGCTGCTTTTGTAATACAATGTTTTAACTACCCTTTTCCCCTCTTCAGTGTATCCCTTCCAGTCGTAAGCCTGGAGAAGATGCCCTGCCTCAACCGAGCCGACTCTGCGTCACATGTGCGCCTCAGCTCCTCCTCTTCTTCCTCCTCCTCATCCTCTCCTACTCCCTCCTCCCTCAAACTTCCATCCCTCACTCCCCTAGCCTCCCACCGGTCCAGCGAGAAGCTCATGAACGGTCGCGGAACAAGCGGACCGTCCACGCCACGCTCCACCATATCTCCCTCCTCTCTGGACAGACGCCCCAGTCCGGCACGCTCTCCGCTGGACAGACGGCCGTCATCTGCACCTTCTCCTTCTCCGCTGGATCGGAAATCTTCCCCTTCTCACCGAGCCGGTGCTCTGCCGTCATCGTCAGCGCCATTGGAGAAGAAGCCCCAAAATGGAACTAAGACTTCCTCCAGGCCGCAGAAAAGACTCTCAGGTCAGTCCCGATGTAAAGTTTTCTGTATTCACCCAGGTGAAACCCTTGCATATGCATGCTTCACAGAGACACTCATTAATCTTTAGAGCTTCACATAGACCCACAATCCTCTGCTGCAGACTAATGGGAGGCAGTTGGAGAGAGAGAGAGATTGTTGTTGTTGAAGTTCTGGAAAACATTAAATTATTTACCTGTCCGTTTTATGATCTTGATCCATCAAGGTCAGAAAACTGGTTCTGTAACTGTTGGGCTACACAGTTCCTGAACTGGAAGAGTTAATATTTCTCTTTGCTCCATAAATTACTGCCTTAAGCTTTACGCAAGAACTCCAACATATATATACATGCATATGTTCTCACATGCTTGCACACTCAGTATTTCTTTTCTCCAGATCCTTTGGAAAGCTTCCATCCTGAATGTTTGGCTGCAGACAGGACAGTGTTGGGTTGAGACTGTGGGTTTTGGAAAGGGAGAGATGCCTCCCTATAGTTTGTAATGTCTTTCTCACTGTTTTTTTTCTCCGTCCTCTCACTATTCTCTTGATCCTTCTCACTTTTTAAATGAGCATCGATGCACACAAGTTGAAGTAAGAGAAGCGAAAACATGCACAGCAATGAAATTAAAAAGATTTGCGATGCTTGCTTCAGGGTCTGGATATTGGTGTTATGTCTCTCTATTCAGCTTCTCCTCTTCCTCCTCTGTTCATTTCTCTCTTAGTTCTCTTCGTTTGTGCTGTAGTCTCGCTGTGCTCCCAGCTTCTGATTTACACCCTCTAATTCACGAGCTCCCGCTGCCAGAAAGCTGCTTGTCTTCTTGAGAGATTTCCCCCACCTCCTGCGTGTCTATATTTTTTCATCCTCTCACTCTCCACCTCTTGCCTCGACCTCCTCGTTTCTCTCTCACACACTCCTACTCTGGCCTCATTTTATTTTTTTTTCTTTCATACACACTCCTTTTTACTGTTGGCTTATTCTTATCATCTTGTTTCTTACTCATTTTGTTCCTTTGCTTTCTGTGTTGCTTCGTTTCCCTTTCTCATCAGTGACTTTCATCGGCTGTGTTAACACTACCCACCTCTCTGTCGCTATCTTTCTCTATCTCTCTCTATCTCTCTCAACTTCCTTTTTAAGTTTGTGTGAACTTGTGAGCGAGCATGTGAGTTTGTTCTTAAGCGCACGTTTGTATGTTTGTTACTGTTGTGCATTTGCGTGTGCTTTTCTGTCCACCCGTATCCATCCATCCTGTCTCATACTGCAAACACAAAAAGATTACAGGGATTATAGGAAAGGCCAGCACTAGATTACAGCCCTCTGACAGTAACACTCTTTAAGATAACCTGCTGACCGGAGGTTGTTGTTGGCCGGCTACTTTGTGTAGGGCAACAAAGGTCTCTCTGTGTTTCTGAGCAATGCTTTTGGTATTGGTATCAGCATAGAAAATTCACTTAAATTTCAACTACTTAGTTTTAACATTCACTGTAGTCTCAAGTACAAAAGTTTTTTGTGTATATAAAAAGAAAGTTTAATTTGTTTACAACTTCATTCTTATTTTTACATTTCTGATCATGATTTGAGAACACTTTGTTCACCATCTGCTCAGATGAAAGGATTTGGTAACAACTGTACACAAGATGCAGCTTTCCAGTATTTTATGGTAAGCAGCAATAACAATCAGCAAGTTTTAACCAATGGTATGGTTTAACCGTATTATCTAAAACACGTTTTTGAAAGAGAAGATGAAGGTGAATGTTAAAAGTAATTGCCCAAACAGTCACTTGTAAACATCAATTAGGTTTGGCAAAGCTACTTCAGAGAGTGTATGAATTGTTTGAGATGATATGGTTAAACTGAGGATTAGTTAAAAAATCGGTGACGCCATTATGATCGCTCTTGTTGCTGTCTTATTGGATGTTAGGGATTGAGCAGGTAGAGACAAGTTGCAGGTTTTTAAAAAAAGGTGGACAACTGACTAAGATCTAACTAATTACATTGCTCTTTTTGCATTACTAGTTAAAACTCTGCTAATCTGCTTCTTCAGGACTGTGTAGATGTAGTTTGATCAGATTTGACCAAAACTGTTCCAACTTGTGTCCATGTAGAATCCCAATACTCATAGTAAAGAGCTGATTGGTTGTAAGAATGCTCCATGTTAGCCTTACGTCTGTCACTTTGAACACCTGAGGATTACCATCACATAAAACATATTTGGACATAAGAAGAGCTCTTTACTGTAACCATCAGAGACTTTGGTTGAAAATTGACACATTCTTTTTTTTGGCCTTTTGATGGCTTTATTTATAGAGACAGCTGTAGGGAGACAGGAAAGGTGGGTGGAGAGAGAGGGGATGACACGCAGCAAAGGGCCACAGGTCGGATTGGAACCCCAATTGACACATTCTTAAAATTGAAGGGGTTACATGTCATCATCAAAGTGCACTTTCCTCTCAGATTCAACTCATTAGAGCAGGAGAGATTTTCCTAGGCTGCCAGTCACAGTTGACTCTTGTCATGCTGCCAGTACGTCCTGTCAAGAATAATTTGTCACAGCACGCGAAGATCTGTTTATCTGAGACTGGAAGCATTGCTAATAATGTCACACGGAATAGTACTATCCGACTACAGTAGCCTTAGACCATGACTGAATGACTGAATGAACAAAGGAATATGTGAATAGACAAATGTCAGCCGTATCAAAAGAGACAAATTAATGCACTTGTGTTACTGGGAGGCTCCCACTCCCAGCAAATGTGATTTGATACTTGGAGGGGGGAGGGAGGGAAGAAATAACTAAACGACAGCCTTTAGTACTAGTCTAACGTGTGTGTGTGTGTGTGTGTGTGTGTGTTGGGTGTGTGTATTTACATGTTTTACAGGGAGAGTGTTTGATCCTAACAAGCACTGTGGAGTCCAGGACCCCGAGACTAAACGACCCTGCACGCGGTCTCTCACCTGCAAGGTAACACAAATACAGACACACACACAGATACACCGTCACTTGCACTCTCCACCTGTAATTTCTGTGGAGACAATGATAGTTTCTGACCCTTCTCCCTGCATCCTGTCTCAGGCCTTCTGACCAGTCTTTTTTGTTTATGAGAGTAATAATATTGAACATTGCTACTGTAGGACTCCAACCACAGTTATGACCCTGTCTGCCGCCCTGCCTGTCTCTGGGATACGTCTGGACTTCCCATTTCTCAGTTAATGTGGGGTAGCAGTTCTGAAGCATTATAGGGCCTACACTTCCCTTGATGGGGTAATTATAGATGTTGGATGAGACTACAACATCTTTCCGCAGTAAAACTCTTATTTTACTGCCCTTTAATTACTTCTAGCAAGCTTTACTAATCACTTCAAACTGGTTATTAAGTAATTAAAGATGTATCAGGCTAGTGTGTTGATGTTTTTTCGAGTGTTTGGGCAGAATAATATTGTCTACATCTCGTTTATACCGGCAGTCCCCATGAATATGACAGTTTAAAGAGTGGGACCTGGGCCCTGTTTCCCAAAAGCATCCTATGATTGTAATATCCATCTTATGAACCTTGTTAAGCTTAAGAGATGTTTCCCAGAAGCACTGATTTGATGAGACTTTCAGCACCTTAAGAGGCTCCTGAACCTGCAGGAGAAGCCAAAAGCTCCATGTTTCATCACCACTGATGCTTTCTTTTAGTGATATTTCATGTTAAGTTTGTAATGATTTTTAAATGACACATACACATAAATTAATGAATTGATTTGCACAAAGGTTCTTCCAGCTTCTGTTGTCATCATCCTCTCTCCTACTTCTTGTAATGTCTCTTCTGAAATGTCTCTTTCCTGGTGTTATGTTTGACATTTCTATATCTTCTCTTTATTTTACATCTTTGATTTTTATCTATGCCGCGCATGTTATTTTTGGCTTTCACAATAGATAACATGCATAGTCATGAATCCAGTAGGAACTTTCACTACTTTCTTCAGAGTAACCTCTGCCTTCAGCGGCAGCTAAGTCAATCAAACTTTCTTCCACCCAGGAATCACAAAAGTTGAGAGCTGTATACAACTTTTTTGACAACATTAACACTCAGTAATTTATGTATTTTCAATATATAGCACAACTTATATATAAAATATAAAGTATTCTCACTTTAAAGGTAGTTAGGATTCCGTGGCCTGGGGTTGTAATGCCGACTGTGAACTGCAGTGTCACCGGTTTGAGTCTGGCTGACCTTTGTTGCATGTCTCCCATTTCCTGTCATCTCCTCTGTCTATAATAAAAGTGTAAAATGCACTTGCTTTTAAGTGCTGGATTGGGCATCATGTGTAAAAATCCAAGTGTATACGTAGAGACACGCTTTGAAACTTTTAAGTTTAATTCTCGGCAATTCTCCTGCTGAAGTGGCTTGGTATCTTGATAACTCCTGTAATTTACTGTTGCACATCCATATGGGGGACTCAAGAGAATGGTCAAAATGTCTGCTTCAGAGGCCAAGATATCCACAAATTGAGTCTGGTATGGGTCAAGCTTCAAAAACACTGAATTCCTACAATTCTCATAATGCAACTAAACTAAATCTCATGTAAAATGTGCGAAGTGCCCCTTTAAATTGGTCCATCCTGTTGTTATTCAGTAGCCACAATATTTAGGATTTTATAAGATGCATCTTTCAGGCCTTAAATCATTTGAAGAGGCCCTTACTTTCAATGTGAGTACAGGAAACATTTTTCCTTCTATTTGGGCTATTTGAAAACTAAATGTTTGATGGCTGGTTACCTTCCAGAGTAGTTGGAAGGCTAGACAAGCTGACCATGCACTGGCAATATTTACCTATGTTAGTCTGGTGTGACACGGGCAGCAGCATGGTGCAGTGATTATGGAAACTTTCCTGAAACCAGAGATTCATGATTCAAGCCCCTCTGAGTGCAACCATCAGCCATGCTGAAATATGTTTGAGCTACACTCTGAATTCTTCACAGATCAATACTTTCATTAACAAAGTCTCTCTGGAAATAACCTAATATCTGTGCTTGGTGCTTAGTAGCTCACAGAAGGACAAGTTAAGAAAAAAAAATGCTATTAACCTTTTTGTGTGTTTTTTGTCTTCTACAGACTCACTCCTTAACCCACCGCCGGGCCGTCCCCGGCCGAAGGAAACATTTTGACATCCTCCTTGCCGAACACAAGGGGCGGCCGAAGGAGGGGGCAAAGGAGAAGGAGAAAGACAAGGACGGAACGCAGGGAGGGAAGGAGGGTAGCAGCCAGAGTTTCACTTCACAAGAGACCGCATGTCCCAGCAAGCCTCACTGCCCAAATGGACGACCCCTGTCTACGCTGAAGCTACGGCTGGCAAATGCACACATACCCAGGTAGGACAGTGGACACACATAGTAAATGTAAAAATTATGTCATTTTAAAAAACCTGATTCTTCCCCCCTATTTTAGCCTTCACACATTCAGAAAATTCTAATTTTGATATAAAAGAAAAGCTAAATTTAAGCTCAGGGTTGTAATTTTCTATTAATCAGGTTGCTCAAATTGTATTGATGTAATTCAGAAAATTCAACCTCGACATCCAGGCTACCAAAGATGAATCAGATCTGTCCAATCAGTCAGTCAGATGTTCCAGGTGTCTCATCTTCCTAAAATACAGGGAAAGAAGTATCCTTCATGCCCGATGTTTATTTAACAAAGAGAGGGAATTCCAAAAAACACATGTCTAGAAAGTAAAATATTTAAATGCTATAAATGTAGTGGTATTTAAACCCCAATATGGGTAATTAAATTTCACAATTACTTTAGTTTATTATACTTCTAAAATACAGTAAGTATTATTTGCTTTCTTATTTGTTGACATTTATGTTGCCTTATATTTATTCCAAGTAACCAAAAACTTCAAACAGTGAAATCAATCTATAAAATGAAGACAGAAAAATATTTGACAAAATATTTAAGTCAAAAATTTAATTTGTATTTTTCTAAATTCTGTCTCTTAACATCGGTCAAGTTTTTAAGTTTGACCTATACTTTTCTGACAAAACATTGGACATTTGGATTTACTTTGGATACTTTTGCACACAATATACCCAATGATTTAAGATTTTTAGTTTTAGTAATGAGTGACTTTTACTTGGAATTTGTCAGGAATTTATTTTTACTTTGACCTAAATATGACTTTTAATGCTTTTTCACCTCAGTGGAGTTCAACTGTAGGGCCAGACATACATAAGACATCCTTGTCTGTTCATGTTTTTTCCACCAGGGGATGCTGTAAACAAGAGTGGACAAACAATAGTAAAAGTGTGGCAAGTCTTCCCTTGTAAAAGTGACACAAGAAACTCATTTCCTCTTTCAATTTAGAAGATCATCCTATGTTGGAACAAGGAAGTTAGGGGTGAGGTTGTCAATATAGCAAACATGCTAGTGCAGATATAACATGAGTTGTTGTGTTTCTGTTAAGTTTTTGTGTCTTTCTGTTTTGGTTCATCCCCACTCCTTCTCCTCCTCTACCCTGCCCCACAAGCCTGCTTTCTCCCCCTTTCCTTTCTCCTCCTTCTTTTACTCTTTTCTTCTTAATTTATCTTTCTTTCCGTTCTTCCCCTCTTCCCCATTACTCTTCTGTTTTCTTCTATCACTTCTTTCTCTTTCACTTCCTCTCTCTATGCTTCTCCATACTACTAACTAAACATTTATTCACCCCATCTCTATTTCTGACATGTCCACTCCAGGGTTCCAGGCTCCAACACCTCCACCTCCAGTCCTCTGCCTCCAGCACCAGCCCCTGCCCCGGCCCCTAACCCAGAGCCGTCTCCCCACAGTTGGGTGACGGCAGCGGGAGACGGCGGCCGGCTTTCCAGTGACGAGGGAGAAGCAGAGACTCCAGACTACGCTGACAGGCCTGCCTTTCACTTCTCCAATCACCACCCACAGCCTTTAGGGGTAAATATTATGACTACTAATGCTGCACTAACAGACATTTTTAAAATCCCATAACCTTGGGGCATTAAATACCCATTCTCACAGGTTTGAGGCAATATTTCCCATTTTTACCCCTCAGGGTCTGCTTTTATATGCAATTTAGAGGAGTTATTTTTCTCTTATCGAGTATTTTCAGTGCAAAACAAAAAAGGTAAGGGTTCTGTGTACATTTGATGAATTGAGCCGTGGCCAAGATGTTACTATTACTAAATGTCTGTGCTTTCTGCAGTTAAATAAGTGTTTAAAGAGAAAACACTGACTCTTTTCCTGTTAAACTGACCACCTCAGTGCATATTTATACCCTATGTCTGAAAATATAGCATTAACAGAGAAGCTTTTGATATTGAGAATCTGTAGCGAGACCCACAAGCTTGTCAGATGAAGGATCAATGACTCCATTTCCTTTCTTAATTATCATGTGCATTATGCTGTACACTGTCACTAAACCAGTGACATTAAAGATTTGAAGGCTCATTGTGAAGTCTTCTCTTAAAAATGAAAACAAGGCTTTGATTTGGTTTTGTTGTCTTAGCTTAAGAGATGGTTGGGTTTACTGCTTTTTTTAGATGTTTGATTTTTGTTTAGTTTTTAGGCCATCTTTCACACCAGTCAGTGTTAATTAGGCATTTTTCTGTCTCCTCTACGCACTACCTTGGTCATCAGTTTTTTTTGCCATCTATCTCTCATCTTTCTGTCACTTGATGCCTCTTTCACTCCACATCCTGCTCTGCTTACCCACCTCTTACTTCCTCCCCCTTTCACTCTTTTTTTCTTTTTCTCTGCATCCTCTTCATTAACCTGCCTGTCTTGTTCTCTTTTTACCACTCTATGTACCTCTATCTCATGCGCATTCTTCTCTTCTCCCTTCTCCCATCAACACCTCTCTCCATGCCTAACCTTACGTCCCTTCTTCCCCAATCCCCTTTTACCCTCCCTCCAGTGTTGCGTATTCAGCAGCAGGCTCATGGGACGGGGTCACTATGTGTTCGACAGGCGATGGGACAGGATGAGGCTGGCGCTCCAGAACATGGTGGAGAAACACCTTAACTCTCAGATGTGGAGGTGAGTGTACATACACTTTTTCACATGAAAGTCAATGTATAAATGCATGCAACACATGTGAAATTCATTTCCAACTACTGTATCTACTCAGGAGTGACTGTGCGAACCTCTGTTTTGATTACACCTACGAATCAAACATTCAGGCTGAGTAAATGTGAGAGGAAGTGACTTATGCGAGCCTGTTTTATGACGGAAAGAGAAACAAAATTAAGTGGGTATACGGGAAGTGTTTTTAATGTCATGTGTAAATGTGATCAAACAAGAAGCAAGTTCATTTAAGGTTATAGGTTAGCAGAGAGAACAACATAAATACAAAGAGAGAAAAAGATGCATGCATGTGTTGATTGAAGAAATAAAAGAATATGTTGGAAAGGAATAGTGTTTGAGTTTTAAATCATATATATATATATATAGTTATAGATAAAATCAATGGAGGAGCAACAGTAGCTAATAGGATGCTAAGATTATGCAAAAAACACAAAAAAACACAAAAAAACATAATTCGGTAAAATACAACTTATTGATTTGTACTTAAGTTTTAGTACTCTGAATTTTCTGTTTATTGGAAATAAAGCAACTGTATTGGTGCATTTCTCATTTGTTTCAGGAAGGTGCCTCTGGCTTCTGAGAGCCTCCTCTCCCTCTCCTCCTCCGGTGCCTCCCCCATCACTTCACAACAGACTCCCTCTCCTACATCCATCACTTCTCCTCTCCTCTCCTCCCCTTCCAACTCCCTCTCCTACACCCCCACATTTCCTCAGTCCGCATCCATGGTGTTGAGCATTCGAGACGCTACACAGCCCGTCGCCCCAGTTTCTGCACTGGGTAAAGCCCGTAACGGCACGCATAAAGCCAGCCGCCCATCCAAAGACATGGAGGACTCAGTAGTGGGATCCAAGAAGAGAAAAAACTCTTCCTACTCCTCCTCCACATCCTTTTCTTCTTCTTCTTCCTTGTTTTCGACTGTGGATAATCACAAAAGGAATGGCAGCAGCTATCATCCAACGTTACAAGGTTCAGGGGGGGCTGCAGCAACCCCAGCCAGGAAAAAGGGACTTGGGCGCGGGGGAAGCGGGTTTTGGACCAGCGGAGAGGACTGGCTATCCAGAACCGATGGGTCTGAAAGCCACAACTCTCAAAACAGGTGGGTGCAGGGCTGTTTAAAGTTTTGGCAGGATTAAATCCACCTGACATATTCACAGTTTCTTCTGAAATGTGTCTTCTTGAAAAGATACTGGAGAGGATCTGCTCCCTCATTACAGGTCCCTCTATAAAAGAGCATCAGTTTAATGTGTTCAATAGAATGTCCTCAAATAAAACGCTATTGTCTTTATTGGTCTAACAGGAAGTTTTAATTGTCATCAGGGCTGCAAACAACACAATACAGGCTCAGCACACAGGGTACAGCATGAAGAGAAACACACAAGAGGGTGATTTATTAAAAGTAGAGCAGTGTGTAAACAAAGAGGACAGTGCCAGCAGTCCAGAGACTGTGATGACAAGTGCTTGGCTTTCCTCTAAAAGATACAGCACTGTAAAATCTGCTGTGATGATTTTATACCAGCCCAAATAGATCCTACTGTACAGTGAAAACTCAACTGGAGCTCACTATAAATCACTAATTGCAATTTTTCTCCTCTTCTGGACCTCTCCAGTCGCGAACTTGGCACGACCAGTATACCCTACTCACCCAACAGGGAGCCTGCCTCTGCCCCCCATCAGCCCTTGGCTTCCCCCTCCGGACCCTTGGCTTATGGGGGAGGAGCAGAGGGGAGGAAAAGGAGGAGTCCTAGCTCTTACAGAGGGAAGGCCAGTAAGCTGAGCAGGCCAGGTGGGTTGGAGAGCCTCTTTGGGAATGGGAGCGACAGCGGGGGAATACTGGCTTCGGGGCCCGAGTCCCCGAGACAGGTAGGTGTTACATACTGTCTCTTACATCTTCACATCTGTTGCGTAAATCTTACCTTCTCCTCACTGGCCTCTGAGCCTTTAACCACATCTAATGATCTTCGTCAGGGGATGGAGTTTTCCCAGTTTTTATGGACCAAAGTATGGAACCCAACATGATAACAGAGACATGGGTTATGATGAACTCTATCTGTTAAAGAAGACTGTTAGATGTGGTTGAAAGCTTTGAAAAAAGATTGAACATGCCAATCATTTCAGTTGTTTCTGAGGGAAAACATCAACAACTATACACTGCTGAGACTAGGAGAGCCAGCATTTTTAGCAATGCTAGCAGTATCCATGAATGGTCGGTTGGTTCCACCACTTTGGTCCAGTTTGAAATATCTCAACAGCTATTAGATGCATTGTTATAAAACTTGGTTTAGACATTCATGGTCCTTAGAAGATGAACCCTTCTAGCTTTGGTGATCCTCTGACTTTTCCTCTGCTGCCACCATCAGGTCAAAATTTTTACCTGCCCACTACTTAATTTTATGACCAGATACTGAACCTTCAAAACTATTGACGTTCCCATCAGCCTCAGCTGTACTTTGTGTTTAGTGATATTTAGCTAATGTTAGCATGCTAACATGCTACATTAAGATGGTGAACATGGTAAACATTATACCTGCTTATCATCATGTTAACATTGTGTCATTGTGAGCATTAGTAGCATGTTGACATTCACACTTAGCTCAAAGCACAACTGTGCCTAAGGACAGTAGTAGCTGCTAGTATGGCTGTAGACTCTTAGCCCTTGTTAATCACCTGGACCCTCGTGGACCTTAGCATACTTGGACATTCGCAAGGATGCGAGGGTCCAGGTGGGTGCACGCATAGGCTCGGGGCAGACACCTGCGTACCGCCAACTTGTTGTGACTGTAGAGAACATGCTCTCTAAGCGGACTCCAGCAAATAGTGTAAACAGAACTACTATGTGGCTGTGGTGTATCCACATGCATCCATGTGGGCGTGTATTCTGGCCAGCAATCCCATATTATAACAGATATGATGCTAAAATCATGTAGGTATTAAAAATATTATACAAACTGGCATTCTGTATTGTCGTCAGTTTTCTTAGAAAACCAAGCCTTCATTATTTTTCTGTTTTTCATAAATGTTAAAAGCTGCTTTACACACACTCATAATTGAACCAATAATAAATGAAAGCCTCTTCTGCCTTCCTCTCCCTGCAGGCCAAGTTGCATCACTGACAGAAACCTGTTTCATGGACTGAATGTTGGGCAGCTGTGCAGGCCACCACCGTTTGTGACCTTCGAACCTCACCACTCTTCCACTGATGGCACCAATCAGACTGCTTCATCTCTGCGATGTCACCCCTATTTACCCAATGACAGTTGAGTTCACCCACTGTGACATCGCAGGCTCTGCAGTCTTTGCCCACACAGTTGACTAGCAGTCATTTTCACTCTCCTCCTCTAATTATGGAGCGTTTTGATGGAGAGCTGCTGTGCATCACTCTGCTTGTGGTCTTTTTTCAGAAGAAGACAGTGGAATCCAAAAACTTATCCTCTGAAAAGGGAATTTGCCTCACCAAGTTTTCAAGGCATTGTTAATAATACCATCACTGTATAATTTTTGGGGAGACAATCAGATTATTTTCTGGTTGTTCTGACCATTTTCCTGGTTGCTGTGTCAGGTCAGCTGACAAGGACAGAGGTCTGTGATTGTTTTTGGGAGTTAGATGGTTGAAGGACCTACTGATATGACTACTGTAGGACTCAGCCTTCAGCTGTGCCACCCCAAGTGCCCCACCCCCCCCCCCCTTTCCCCCTTTCCTTTTTTTTTTGTTTTTCTCTTTATTTTAGCTTTTCCTCTTTCTAAAAGATGGAAGAGACAACAGCAGCTGTAGTTGGGTTTTATCCAGCTTCTTCATCTTTCAACCTCTTCCTTTTTCTTTATTTCCCCTCCATCTTTCTTTATATCAAACAACTTTGTCAACATCTCTACAGTTCTTATTTTTACCTTTCTCCCCCTCTCTCCCTATCCATCCCAGCATGCCCGTGTTCAAAGTGCACTTACTGTCCTCGCTTCCCCCCTCCCTTCCTATTCACTGACAGCAGAGCAGTCTCCAGCAGTGCCACAACAGGACCTGTTCACACGAGGGACGGAAAAACACCTCTGTGTTACCAACGACGCCGTGTCAATGCATTGTATTTCAGTATAGGAAGAAATCCGAGTTTATTTGAAGATTGTTATTTTTTTTTTTTATCTCTTCGCTCTGGTTTTAAATGTTGCAAGAAACACAAACTCCTGTCTGTGTGTCAGGACTTGCATCCAAAAAGGAATTATTACTATGGTGTTGGATCTTTTTTTTGTATAATAATTTATCATTTCTTAAATGATTTTCTCACTGACCATTGAGGTTTGAGCTACAGAGACTTTTTTGAGCAAAAAAATTATTTCTATGGCATTTTGAAGAAATGTTTGAAAGTATTATGATGAGTTCATGTTGTTGATAATGTGTACATATCTGTTTATTATTTTTGTATTTATTAATAATTTCCCCCTTTTACTTAATATGAGCTAGAGAAAGGAGTATGCTTTCCCTCCTGCCTTAGTCTGTGTTTAATTATATTGATGAGATTGGCCTGGTTTCTCAAAATCTGTAATATTTGTTCATTTGTAGGTTTTTAAATCCATACTAATTAATTCTCAAACACAGCCAAATATGATCTTTGACTCAATGCTCAATTTCAACAACAACCTGTGGTCAATTTATATATTTTAGTCAGGCCTCTTCTAATAACTAATTCTAGTTAAGCTAATTATGTTGCCTGACAGAAATATCTGAACTCAGCGAACACAGCTTTCAACCACCTCTCACATGCTGTGTGTCCCAGTTCCATAAACTTTACTAATTGTATACAGTATGTACTGTTTGGTAATCATACTATACTGTTTTTTTGCAGTTGGCATACAAGAAATTAGCATATTTAATAGTTTTATAATTACAGGAAACTAAACAATCAGACATATGTCAGTCAAACTGCAACTTTGGAACGCTACTGACAGTTAAACTTCACAAAGAGGTTTTTTTCCAAAGATTTTATAGGTTATTTTTCTTTCCTATATCTGTCATAAGGCTGTCTCAACACTGCCTTCAAATACTTTTTTATTTAAAAATGTTTTTGCAGTGATGAGCAGCTCGTCCATTTCCATCAACATTTAGTTCTCCAGTGTGAAAACATTCCATACACAAATCCTGCATAGAATTAGTATGTAGTTTTGTAATTGGACTACAACCTTAATCAGCAGATGGAGTTTACTCAGTTGCCATGGAGATGGCTCAGTTGTTGTCACATGACATGGTTTTTCAGCGAACCTCTCTCACCCCTTTCTATAAGACTTTTTCCTCTTTAGATCTTGTCAACCTTGCCGGTCCAAAATGTCAGTTGACGGTTTCTCCACCAGTATTTGTTCACATTTCTAATAACTGTGTGCCGCAGTGCACAATCTGTACGTCATGTGCACCAATGAACAAAGGTTGATTTTGTGAAACCAGGCCCTGGTTAGTATTTTTCATACAAAGGGCCCCACATTCCTGTTTGCCTGTGGTTCCACCCTTTTTCATACTTCTTCCAACGTTCAAAAATATAGATATATTTTTAAACAGTTTTTATCTTCCAGGATCGATTGGGTCTAGTGTCAGCGCGATTATGCTTCGTTGTTGGGTGTGTGTGTAAAATTAAAAGCCAGATCAAAATGCCTTCATTTACTTCTCAGCCGCAGACATCAAGTTTGGTATCATTTCCTCTCCGGTGGCTCAGTAGTTCACTGCACTGGAAATGCAGCACAGTCATTCCCATGAGTCTGTAATGTTTTTTTAAGTATCTACAAGATGCACACATACAGAATCAGGCGTAAAAAAGAGATAACATTTAAGGTTAAAGGGAAATCTCATGACTAAAGCATATATTCTGTTTAGCAGCGAACTACCACAGCGTCCAAAGTGACCCAAACATGGTTAAATCTAACTGAGAATGTCATATTGTGTAAATGTTAAATTCATCAAATGTCAGGGGGATTTCCTTGATTGAAAGTGGTATTGTGGATGCCATAATATGTCCACAAAAATGGGGAAAAACCTTCAGAACCCTGTCTATTTATCCGATGTTGCTGATAAAGCTAAAGTAATTGAAAGCATTTTGATTTAGCTTGATGGCTGTGAACCCACCCCCGCCCCACCTGGTACTTGCTAACCGCTTCAGTGGGAATAACTCCTAGGATTTTTTATTTTTTATTTTTTGTTTGTTTGTTTTTTGTTTTGTTTTTTTTTCAAAAGCGTCTAAGCACTAATGATGAATGAATTGTACATAATCAGTTGTATCTGTGTTACGCTTTTTTCCCAAGTGCTTCCCATGATGACACTTTATTCATCAGCGTGTGAGATCGTCTAACAGCTCTTTTCAGTTTAGTGGTAGCGGCTCGGTGGTCTTTATTATACTGTAGATACACATTCTTTATCAGTTTACTGGTTAACACACCTACGATTACATTATAAACAAATCTTTTCTGGTTTTTTCCCCCTACAGTTTTCTCTGTTTAACGGGACAGATGTACTAGTATGTAGATGTTTTATGTTGGTTTAATGGCTGAAAACTATGGTTCAGGAGTGATGTCAAGATTTTATTCCCTGCTCTCCACACCTGTATCCACAGATCAAACATGACGATCTTGGCGCTAAGATGTTTTTGGGAAATGGAAAGTTACAGCCTGCTGCAGCTAAAGTTTAAGACAAAAGCTCATGGATGTTGATTTCAGAGCAGTTGTTGAATTTTATGGAGGTATTAACAGTTTTTTAAAAGAAAACCCTCCCCCCTCCTTCCTTTTTTTTGCACTTTGTCATAATGCCCAGATCTTTAATCAACTTCTATTTATATAAATATTTGAGATATTAAAAAAAAAATTCTATATATATTTGTAAAAGTGTTTCTGGCAACTACAAGATGAAGAGTATATTTGTGGTGAGTTGGCGCCTAAACCAGCACACTTTTGTTGTTTGTTGTATCTGATTCAAACTGTGTTGAATGTCTGAAAAAATGCCTTGTAAGTTGGGGTTTATTCAATCTCACTGCAGCCGAATCGGATCAGAAAATGGAATTCCCATCAAAACAACTGAACACTTGCTGTAAAAAACAAAAAACAAAAAAAAAAAGGTCTTATATCCAAGCTTTTATTAAATGATTGAAAGTGCATGTGTGTGTTATTTGTAAAGCAAACATGCAGCTTTTGGATTGGCAGAAAAGTCCCACTGATGATCAATGTTTGTTTGTTTTGTGAATTTGTCATTTTTGCAACTATCTGTCAAATGTTTTCAAATGATGTTGTGTTATTGGCAAAGAGCAAACAAGTCTTCTGTGGCTGTCACAAAGGAGCTTCAGTTGTGTATTTTGTGTTTCACCAGATGTATCTATAATTGCCATTTTCATTGTTTCATTGAACTGTGAAGGCCTGCTTCCATGCCAAAATGTGAAAGTAGTTGTTATGCCTATATATGACTTTTGTTTTCAGGATTTGTATTTCCTAGCATCCTGGCAAGTGGCAAGTGACCGTGATGCTGGGCAATCGGTCCACTACTTCTGTCCAGAAATATCTCAACCACTATTGGATGAAGAGAATTGATCCTACTGACTCTGGTGATCCCCCGACCATTCCCCTAAGTGCCACCAGCAGGTTCACATTTTTGGCTTTTCCTGAAATGTCTCGACAACTTCTGGATGGATTGAAGTATAATTTGGTACAGATATTCATGGTCCCCAGAGGATCAATCAATCATAATCACTGTTGTGATCATCAAGTCAAAAATGTGGTTTTACTAATCAATGTCAGGTTATGTTGGACAACACATACAGTTTCCTTAAGGGACCCTTTTTTTTATCAGTAAACTGACGACCTCTGACTAAGTTAGATATTGAATGGGTATCTCATATTATATTCAATAACTGTAACGGTACAGAACAACTGATGAACTGTATAATGAACCCAAATACTGAACGCAATAGCTGCAGGAAGTTTATGTAGAATGAGCAATTTGGATGAATTTTGAGCAGATCATTTCCTGTGAATCAGTCTTCTTAAACAATGTATGATGTTTTTTGTTTTTTTTTAATAATCATACCTCATTAGGCTGCTTTTTTGAGTTTCATTCCTTGACACTTGCTCGTTGTTCTATGAACTCTTTGGTTGTTTTAAGTGCGTACTTTTCTAATGCAGAGTGACGGCTCTGTGAATATAGCTTGTGTTCAGGTCTTTACCGTACCCTCTAAGATGTCTTTACGTTTAAATCTTAAAGAATAATCTACACTTAAAAAAATAATTCCATTTAGTTTAATTCACTTTAAGAAATGCTGAGATATCGGCCTACTGTATCTATTTTTTTAAGTTTTCTTACACCCCATAAAAATCGAGACAGCCTTTATGAAGCTTTGGCAACCTCTAGTGTGGGTCGGGACCCTCGGGTTGGGAACTAGTGGTATAAGGTATCGAATTACAACATGACATGTTATTAACTTGTGTTTCGGTGCAATCTAACCAGATCCTTCTCAATTGAGGAAAGAAAGATGATCTTTGAAGCTTCTTCTCCACAGCAGGATGACTTGCCAGGTTTTAAGGTCCACCTGTAAAGGCTGATAACACAAAAGCACTATTTGTTCTCTTGACACTAAAGCTCAGCAGGCAGCAAATCACCTATGTTGGCAAGGAAATGAAATAGAAACTAATTTTGTGGGGCCCATAATTAAGTGCATAACAAGTGATCTTTGGGGAGTCCCTCTTGGTGCTTGTAGTTGGAGCTAAGCTAATTCTTTATTCCACCCTTTATCATCCATTAAACGTTGCCTATTAGGAAGAAATTCAGTCTTTTAATCACAGAACATCGGTCCACACTCTTGTCTTGGCACACAAGAATGATGTTGAATCCCGGACCCCCTTTTGGCAATGTAGCCGTCCCTAAACTTTGACCTCCAAGCAAGACGGTGAGAGAATTTCCCTTTGGTGACTGACGAGTCTTTCATGGTGCAACTTCAACGCTGTCTTTGATCATCTGATCTCGACAGATCAAATGGGAACCCATGATAAAACTTTAAGTCCGATTATTCTGTGGTGCCATTTCACAGCCCATCTCTCTTTATAGCAGTGATTTTATGTTGTTATTGTTCACAGAGAAAAGTGGGCTACTGAGACGTCATCTCTCTGCTATCCAGTCATTCAACAAAATCCCCACCTGGCTTGAGAAAGGACACTGTCGGCAGTAATCAGACATTTGCTCAGTGCTGAGTATTCGCTCTGCTGTGGGTTTTTTTTTTTTTTGTACTTGAGTTTACCTTTGAAGTTTTACAAAAGGAAAGAGGTAAGGAAAATGTGAATAATGCATTTTCTTATGATACTAACAACTGTTAGTAACACATTTCTTCTCTTCATCTTCATTTACAGGCCAAAGCAATGTGGTAAACTCAAACAATGACCTTCTTGTGTCAGTGATTCACGTGATCAATTTGGTATCCAGTTTGTTTTTTTACAGTTTTGCTGCATCTTTTCTAAATCAAAAACCCTCAAGATGGCAGTTTCTGTCTAGTGGTAGAGCTCACAGATCATTTGTGACTAATTGACTGAAGGGAAAATCAATTACATTGGACATCGACCTTAAAACAGGCTGATTTTGATCATTCTACTGATTAAATAAACCTTGATATGAATTTTAACTCAAGCCTTATTAACCTGGCTACATTTCCTTCCGACTACATTTGATGTTCATTAGATTGACTCGGAAGGGGAGCGCAGCATTTACCTCCGTCCGTATCATCAACCCTGCAGTCATTGACCATTAAACCATTTAAATGTACATTAAAATAAAAATGTATTTTAATAACCTGATTTTATATTAAGGAATTTAAAGACTAACACCTCTGGCATGATCTATCTTTAGTTCATTTTGAACACTGATGACTGAGAATTGACGTCTGTTCAGCCTTTGCAACTAAGTGCCTCTTGCCAGTGAGAACAGCTAATTTGTCCTCAAGTCTGAGTCAGATGTGACTGTAGACCCCCAGAGAGTGGTGACTGAGTAAAAAAAAACCACACAAAGACCATAAAGAGAGTGCAACTGACTACAAAACGATAGAAACACTGTCCCCACATTCCCTCGTGTTAGCACTATAATAATCCTAATGATCCGCAAAGAAAGACTAACTTTTACTGAACAGCATCCAATGTCCCCACAAGAAACATTATGAGATCATAGTAAATGTAACAGAACCACAGATATAAAGGAGTCAGTGAACTGACTCAATTAATATTGATTACTCGCTAACATTAGCAGCCATAAGGCTAGTGGTCATACTGTACTAGACTGAGTAAGGCTATAGCAACAAAAGCTCTTTGTGTATACGACTGAGTAAGACTGTGTTTTATTGCTTATAAATAAAAGTTTAAATTTCCTTCGGAAAATTAGATTTTTAACTGCGTCTGCCATTCCGAAGATTAAAAAATCTGAATATGACACATGACAGCAGCTTTACTTGTCCTGACAACTCACTTAACCTTCTTAGCAACAGACACAATATGGATGTACTGATCACAGTCTCTCTTCAAACTCAGATGTTGATGTTTTCCTCTTGTTTATGAGAGTTTAGGCTGGGTGTCATGTAAAAAATATCAATAGTAGGCTTTGTACTATTGGCCATTTGATTGATTTTACAGCAACAGTGAAGTCGTCCATAAAGGTCCTGTAGGTCGAGTGAGTTTAAGACGCCCCTTTGGCCTTTTTCATGGTAATTCTCTTATCTGAGAAAATGAGATGGCATGTGACAAAGGTCAGAAAGAAACAGAATCTCATTTGGCAGAGAGGGAGGTTAAAGTTAAATTACACATAAAAACTTGAAAGCAAAGGGACACTGTGGCCAAAACACACAACACTGTGTGGTCAGACTCCCTCCAACATTTGCATCTGAGCCTGGAGAGTTTATGAGAGTTGTTTTGTTTTTTTCCACAAAAGGAGCTGCTGCATTATTTTTTTTTTTCATCTTGCACTGCTATGCTGCTCATATGCCTACAGCATTTTCCAAACATCATTTTTCTCTTAAGAGGAATGGTTCAGCCTAAAATACACTGTATAGATTGTATCCTCTTACTATTATGTTGTGCAGTGTTTTTTTTTTTTAAAGAGGTTACGTATGTGTAAAGTCTGTAAAAACCCAGCTTTTGGCATACATACTGATCCAGTTGCTGTAGTTACATGTACAGACGGCTCTACTGCCTTATATTACTGCTCTCCAGACAAATCGCTACATCCAATTAGATTTATTTGAGCATGACATCCAGCAGGCATTTTTTTTCCTACTCGCTGCTTTCCTCCATGCTCTCTACATTAATGGACTGAAATGACAGACCGAAAACACATTCCCAGCAACATTGACACCTTGTGGTCAGTTACCTCTAACACGACCCGAATCTCATCAGCCACATATCAGATCAAAAGCACTCAGGGAAAGTAAATGCAGTGCAGAGCAAATGACGCTAACCTCGAAGTGAGGGACTGCTCTTATTTAGTCTTCATTTATTCCGATACTCCTGCTGGGATGAACAATTACTGTGCAGGTCGTCTGCTGAATTCATAATCATAGGCAGCTTCCAAGGGATATCAGATACTCACATATCCAAGGGAGTATTAGAAACTTTGAGTGCAAATAGACTTTAATTTTCAGCAATCTGGTGAGAAAGTTGAGCACAAATTTGATTACGGTGAATGTTTCTTTCTCAATCACAATATTTGCTCTCATATGGAAGCCTAAATAGGGAAAAACAAAAGATTTCATCAGTCCTATCTGTTCATTGTGTTAGTCTTCGGTGGATCCCACTGGAATCAAGTTGTACCCTAATCTCCAGCATCTTCACCAGTCCCCCCCTCCCACCTCCCCTCCACCAAAAAAAAGGCCCACTTGTGGCTCATGCTATAATTATAAACAGGCTATTTAAATTAGTAGCGTAAATTAATTATTTTTCATGCACAAAAAGTGTCCAAACATGTCACTAGGTGGTGTGATAAATGCAGCCTGCATGTAATTGAGAAGATAAAAGCTCCCGGGCTCTATTCGGCGACGTCCATGAATGCCGAGGAGTTTCTCCCCCCATTGCAAACAGCATTCTTATGATAATGGAATAATGCTGGTGCTTTAGTTAATTGTGTATAGCCGATAGTGGTGGGCACCTTTTGTTGAGAGCTCTCGTGAGCCTAAAGGAAAGAGCTGGCAGGGATTATAACTCTTATAGAACTTCTCAAATTCCCCCAACACATTGCATTCAATGAGTTGATTGTTTTTCTTCATTTGATTTGAGATATTAGCAGTGTGTATTCAGGAGACCATTTTGTGTATCATTATATCTATCAAATATCTGTCAAGTGCTGCCTAACCTGGTGGCTAAATGAAATATTTTCATGAATAGCTCAACATGTTGGCAGAAAGAAAAGGCTCTTTTATAGCTAGTGTAAAACCTCAGTTGGTTCACAATGTCATCCTGTTCGGGGTGAAGTAAGATAGCAGCTTACTTTTCATATATACTTGAATTCAATCTCTCAACTGTAGGGTTTCAGTTACAGTTTAATGGGATTATCTGCTCTGTTTACATGTTGCATTTTTTAAACCACTTACCTTACAGTTTTCTCATTAAAATGACTTACCAGGGAGGGTAATTGACTGGTTTTTGACGGCATCTCACCGTCAGATCCGGTTCGAATCACAACTGAATAAGCCCGTATCCATGATTACTAAAACAAATAGCATATAGAAGTATAAGAAAATGGTAATTACACTGAAGATACACGACAAAAAGTACTATAAGACAAAGACAGTAATGTGTTATTTCCTGCAGACAGTGACAACCTTTGGCTGTTAAAGTACTGGTGACAACTACTACACTATATTATGATCAAGTAGTATAATTACATGTACTACTTCTACTATACTGTAGGCCTAATACTATACTTACTATTGACCGACAACTACATCTGTAGTGCTTGTTGTGACAGCTTATTTCAATTATAGGAACAGCAAAGAAAACAACCTACTGCTTCTACAACACACATGATAACACAGCATTGCACTAATGGACTAATAAAGCTTTATGAAATATATTATTTGACCATAGACCCTTACTAACCAAACTTTTAATAAAGTCTCTCTATGACTGCTCTCATAGCATTTGAACAAATGTGTCACTTTTTGTGTCAAAAAATAAATAAATAACCCCCATATCCTCATAATAATACCCCCTCTCTGTCCCCACCCCACCTCCATAAACTCACCTCCATAAACTCACCTTATAAATGTAAAATGTTTTTAACCAGCTGCTCCTAATTAGCTTTAACACTTTTTCATTAAGCACAGAACAGGTGAGTCAGTCAAGCTAACACATTAGCTCGCTAACTTTAACCTAACAGCTTTTTTTTTTTTTTTTTGCTTTAACTTTTAAATATTGTTGTTATGTTTTATGTCATTTCGTTAATCTTTCAGCTGATGGCCCGAACAACCAAACAAACAAAGCTTTCTGCTCAACAACAATCCGGACACAAGGTAAAAGATGTAGTTATTAGTGTTATAACTTATTGTTATTATATCTAAAACACTAGCTGAACTGCCACCTCTCAGTGCAGCTCATAATAAATGAACGTTATATGTTTGTAGTTGTTTCTGTTACAGCTTATTTACGTTTCATTTATCCCACACCTGTCGTGTTTGTGAAGAATATAAAGGAAAACATCGGGCGTTTTCATGGTTTGTTGTCATATGTTGGTTTTTATAAGCAGGTTGAACGGAGGGAAAGTTACTGTGAGTGGAAAGCAATAAGCTCCAGATAGTTATTGGACATAATTATGAATTTAAGGCTAGCTAACTTGCTCGTGTTGCAGAAAAAATGGCGTTAGCTACTTTTAGCATAATGGCTAAGTCAGTAAAATGATGTATTGTTGTTAATTATTTTATCACCACCTCGGCAAACAATATAAAACATTTAAATATGTTTTTGAAGGCGTCTGTGTAGCTGTAGCTGTGTGATACCGTGAACCTTAACAACATAAACCCTGAAACAAACACTAATAATAAATGATATGTCAATTATTGATTGACTCTTGTATTGGCTCTTATGGGGGGGGGGGGGTTTGTAAATTAGACTGAAACCACTTGAATCAGCTCTGTGACTTGATGAATTTATCATCAGTAAGTGCCAGTGTTGTGTTAAAAGGTGTGTGTGTGTGTGGGTGGGGGGGGTCCTAGGAGGGTTTCTCCATCCAATTGAACCACAGTTCATTAACACACATTCCCACATACTCATTTGCACAGTGCAGGAAGTCACTGAACAACCATTCAACTATTAAATATGATATGTTTTAATGATTATATCTAAACATTTAAACTTTAAGATTTTTTAACCAAATATGCTGTACTTGTGGGGGGGCCCACCCCCCACCCCCCCGGACTGTGTAACACATATAATGGAAGTTAATTTTGGCCACACATCGCTTAGTTCAGTCCTCTAATTGTGACTCTGCTGAATGTGTATGTGTTTTATTTAACTGGTGCTGTATAAAGTATTTTAAAGTTTTATTTGAAGTCTTCAGTTTTTTGGGGAGGGTGTGTCCACTCCTTCTTTACTTTGCGTTTGAGTCGTGGAGTCTTGTGGAGAGCTGTGTGTCCTCAAAAAGGGTTGCGCGTTTTGGGGGACAAATCGGCGCTACAACCGTGGCCTCTGGTTAAAAGGTGGGAAATTATACAACTTTTATTAATTAAAACAGGTCAAGGCGTTCATTTTTATCACAATGTCGCCCTAAAAGTGCCGGCATTTCCAGCTGAAATTGGACGTAGAGGGTGCACCTTTGCGCAGAGGCTGGTTTAATGCTGAGAGGCTCCTCTGGGTGCACAAAGACAGCGGCTCGCAGACGAACTTGTTCAGAGTGAGCCGGGGACGCTGGGAGGCGAAATAAACAATCTCCGGACGAGAAGTAGCCACAGCCGCGCAGTTTTACCTCTTCAAAACACACTATCACACCACCCATCCACCAAATACAAGGTAGGTATTTGTTTTTAATGCGTTTCAGGAGGATTGGAGGGCTGCGGAGCGGGTTAAACCTCCTTCGCTTTGGCTTCCCGAGCATGGTTGTTTTTGCAGAAAATGGCGTCATCGCCCTCTTGTTTCTGCCTGGCCGCGGCGGGGAGAGGAATAGTTTCAGAGTGTTGTAGCAGCCTTCACACGTAGCGTTTCGCTCCTCAAAGAGGAAATCACCTACCGCAATGTGTTTTATTCAATAGTAAATCGTCAAAATACGAGATAGTTCGTGATTTCGCTCGGTAGAAGGACGCGCAAAGATGGAAGGGTCACCGGTCCTGTGCGCCAAGCTGCTTCTTGGAAAAGGTGGCACGGAGCCGCAAAACGCAGCGTTTTACATTCATAATAATGACATCCTCGCCGGCTCTAGGCTAATCCAAATGCCCGAGGATGGTTTAGTGTTATTACCAGGGTGGTGATGGACGTATTTATGGGAGTACTGCACCTTGCCTTTGTGTGTATTTTATTCGGGTTAGCTCGTTTTTACGCCGCACTCCCCTGCCATGCTGCAATCGTTATGAGGGGCCTCTCTTTTACGGCTTGAAAGGTGCATTTTGTACTTGGCTTTCCCTTTGATCAAGTCAAGCTGCCCCTTTGTTGCTCAAAATAGTGGCGTTTTTAGGCTGACAATATAACCGTGTAAAAAGAGATTTTCGGGGATAATGGGGGCGATGCAAATCGTGCCATGAGAACGGCGACTGCCCTGCGCTCTGGTTCGCCGCTCGCCAGACGAGGACTGCCTGAATGAGATAAAAAATAAAAGTCTTTTGGACGAATCACATAGTTTGCACAAAACTGGGGAAGTCCGGCGCTGCGCAATGATTGTGCTGCTGCTTTGCGCAGAGCACAGTGGCAGCTGCTGTAACCGCCGCCACCATTTCGCCGCGATATTTTTTGTGTGTGTTGGCCAACCTTTTGTAAATAGTTGGGGGACTCTTGGATAAAAGAGCACAATAGTATTCATGCGGGCCCTTTATGGCCTGTGAATGCGGTCCTAAGTCCCACTCCGGCTGTCCTGTCTTTCCCCGTCAGCTACGTGCATGCGTCCTAGCACTGGCCACCACACATCCACCATAGCGAGGCCACTCGGTTCCCTGTGTATACGCTCTGCTTGGTTCCTCCTGTGACCAAAAGTCGAGGACTGATCGTGTGCGGACTGTTGTGGTACAGGCCATCACGATCAACTCGAAACAACGACAAAACATCAGTCACGGAGACTGCACATCGCTCGCTCCGTGCACATTTTTATTAAGTTTCCTGAGTTATGCAACCGCATCCCCGTAGAGCGAACTGCTCATCCGCCTTTATTTACTCGTCACCCACCATCGGATGGATATTTCTGTGTGTAATATCTGGAGAATTGGACCAGTCCCTGTGGCGACGACACTGTTTGAGGAAGATATGTCATTTGCAAATCACCCAGTGCCATTTGCGTCACAGCCCGCGGCCTCGCACGCCCATGGGGGGCGATGGAGTTGCAAATGGAGACTGTGTGTGTGTGTGTGTGTGTGTGTGTGCTGACGCTGCCCCAGCTGAAAGGGAACCAATCGACACGGACCCGGGCGGCAACAAACGCCGTGCGCTTCCACTCTCCAGTAGTGCACCGACTTGGGATTGTGTATCAACACGGAAGATCGCGCCGTTTATTCGGGATGGTTAGGTTTCCTTCGCCCTGCCTGGGATGCGTAAGTGGATGCGTACACACACTGGTTAAGACTGCTTTAGGGCTCGACAGGCCAGCCAGAGAGGAGTATATCCGTCCGGTCCTTCCCTCATGGTGCTCGGTGCATGTGGCTATTGTGGAGTCGCTCATGTGTGGATAAATGTCTTTCCACTGGATCGTGATGATATGACCGTATAACCTTTATTAACAGCGCAGAGAATAAAGCTGGATGGTGATTCGGACACTGGATACACACCCGCGTCGATTTCGTTACATCCATAGCGCGCCACGCGTTTCTGGTATGGAGATGAGCAGGGCGTTTTTATCCAGGAATGTTTTATTTGTTGCTGTTGCGCTTTTGGGCACTGCGCATGGTTTCATCCACCAGAGCTCAGAGAACTTATTCACGAGGCAGAAAGTCCTGAAATTGTCAAACTAGGAAGTGTAGATTTAGTCAGCGTGGAAATCTTTCATAGGAGCTTATGCTGCGTGGGAAAGATGTACTTATTGTATCAGTTATACCGGTTGATTGGTAACATGCTGATACCATAACATAACATCTAATGATAGGATCTAATGTGATCAGCGTTAAAATATAGAAGGAAACTTGAAGATAATATATCTAAATATTATCATATGTTAAACTGCAGCAATATGGGAATATTACAATATGTTAAACAATTACAATAGTGCAAATATATAGCATTTGTTTGTGCAAATTGATTAAATTAGTAATATTGTCTGATCTTGTCTAAATCTGTTTTATGGGGCTTAATCTTAAGCTATAAGTTGCATGTAGTTTGTTTAAATGTAGATCACACTGTCCACTTCCTGTGCTCTATTTAAAAGGGCACAGATGCAGTCAGGTAGCATATCAAGTATTGTTACAGGGGCAAGTCAAGAACTAGAGATTGCTACCTGCACCCCGGAAAGATGGTCCCTAAGGTAGAGATTCACCTCAGAAGGCCTGAGTCAGGCAGCCCTGCCACTATGAACTATTTTTATCTGCGATAATTTAAGGTTCCAGGTTCATTCGTGCAACTTTGAATCTGCATGTGGCTGTACATGATCAATTGACTGCAAACTTACTTTGCATTGCATATTGATCAATAACCTGTCTAAGTTCAGATATAGAGATGGTTCTACTGTACATTTGTTGTAAAGTTAATTAATCAGCTCAGATTAGGCCCATCAATATCACCCCGTCTAAAGTCTATAACACAGTACATGAGTAGTAAAGATGGCCAGTCTAACCTTGAAGAGGAATATGAACAGATAACTAGGACATGAGTGTAGATAACAAAGTGGGTTATATGGAACTAAAATAAAATGGAAAGAAAGATTAGCCTGAAGTTGGCAGAATTGCCCCGCATATTCATAATACTTTTATGTTTGTTGTTCCACATGTTATATATTGTTTGCATTCATCCCATTTCCCAGCATTTTGACTGTCTCAGCTGGCCTTCCATCATCTCACGAGATTTGGGTTTATAGCAACCTGAGATTAGTCTTCCCTTATTAGAACAGCAGCCAAAACTGCCTGCCTGTCTTCCCTGATAAAGTTTTCTAGGTATCATTGGTTTTCTACCAGCGTGGATGTTTGTTGAGGGCAACAGTTCAGTGATGTCACTGTATGATTCAGTCAGTTTAATGATGTAGTGCTGCGTCCACTCACTTAGTCACCTCATCAAACTAATGTGCAAGTTAAGTCACTGAGCAAACCCATAAACTTGTAACCTGTCAGTCAGGCAAACAGAGCGACAGACGTTATGATATCCAGTCAGGCAGCCAGTCGGTAAGTAAGTTCAGCTGCAGTAGTTCTACAGTTAGTCCTGATACCTGCAAGCCAGGAAGCTGCAGTCAGATATTTTGAGAGCCCACAAATCAGATAGTAAGTACACCAGTCTAACCTAAACAGTTGTCTTGCTGTGTCAGTGGTGAAGGTGAACGCTGTGAGTTTCCAGCACAGCTCAACCTGTCAACAACTACTTTCTGCCCATTGTGACAGACATGCACCAGTAAGTTGGAGAAGATCTTTTTAGTAGTGCTTTTTGGATATCCCTGGAATTGGTGCTTTTTTTTTGCTTTGCCATTTCATGTTAAAATCACCATATGCAGTGTTTAAATATATACTTATGTGTGATTTTTAGAGACTTGATCTCAAAGATCATAGGCTGTGCATATCCACACCTGGACTGAAAATGCCCATTATGCACCTCCCATGGCTATATTTATTTAAATCTGTGTCCACGTTCGTTTTCCACACTCTGCTGCTGCATCTCTTTATGTTGCTCGTGCTGTGTGCCTGCTTTGATTCTGGACCACACAATGTACTGCGCCGAATTTCCGTTCATATCTGCTGTTTGAAAATCCAGTGGCAAATTTAGCCAAATCCAACCGTTTGGTACCCGCTGTCCTGCCACCAAGTGTGTTCTGGTTTGATTGGGTGATGAAAGTTATCACAGAAAAACAAGTGGAGCTCATTACAGGCCCCTTAAATTTAAGTCTAGTTAACTTTGTTGAGCGATGAAATCTGGAGTGAAACTGAAATTCGCTATCTGGGAGGCAATATTTCTTTAATTTGGTAATATATGAGCGTATGTGTGGACACAACTATGCATATGTGTGTACTTTGTCCGTGTGTGTCTGTGCCCCTCTCAGGTATTTCCCCATTTGCAACTAAATCTGTGCAGGGAATGGTTGGCCGAAGTGATTTATGTTGGGAGTTTTCCGAATGAAGCATCACATGTTTATGGGCACATGTTCATTAATGTTGTCACACAGGACATTACAGCCACTGGCAGTAAGATTAGACAAGCACAGGGGAACTCTGTCAGTAGGCCACATCATAGTTCCCATCCTATTTTGTGGTCAGGTTGTATTTCTGGTGTCTGCCAGCAGTCAGCATCATGTCAGTTAGTGTGGAGTCCCTCCATTAGGAGGAAGTCCTGTCAGACCGCCTCCACACAGCCATCGGAAATAAGAGAAGGCAGTGGTAGTTGCAGGCAAACATCTGATGGCTCTAGAACCACACACACACAGTTAAACACATACATAACATACATTATATACGTGCACGCTCTTACATGATAAATTATGACAGGCTGAAGTTTCTTTATCGTGTAGAAATCAGAGAAGCTTAGGCATCACAGAAGAGAAAGTTCTGCTCTTCTGACATGGATTTACCTCCTTTGTTGCTTCTGTGAGGCCAAATGAGGATTTTCCTCCTAAAATAAGAGATGTTCCCAAAAGGGAAATGCTTTGACAAATTGATTTCTGGCTGGTATAAACAAAATTCACT